TCACATCCAGTTAATGGATATTTTATCTGAATGTAGCAAATCATGGTGTGCCCAAATCGTAGTTTGCTGCATTAAGAGAGAATAAAAAACAGTGAATTTCCACCAACCAGAAGTTGAAGGAAGGGGGAAGGAGAGGAGGCAACTTGGGAATCTGATGGCCCTTCCTGCTAATTCCGTAAGGAGGTAACAATTGGCATCGAACTGTCTAGCATTTGTGTTAAGTGCTGTTTATGGTAACCAGCTCTACTGGCTAGTCCTCTGAAGCCTTGTGAAGTAAGTTGAGTGTACATTTTTGTTACTTCAGCAGCTTAAAAACAAAAGTTGGGTGCAAGGAGAGTTTGTCTGCCTGTATCTCTTTCACAAGGAGTCAGGTAATTGACTGAGTTCAGCACTGAGCCCTTGGTGGAAGCAAAGAACAGTGCTTGGGATCTTCACCTGTGCCTGTGTTTGGATTTAGAGAGTGGCTGGGGGAAGACACTTTCACAAATGATCTGAAAGGGGGAACTGAATTAGCAGTTAGGAGTAAAGCTCAACATGCTCATCTCACGTGCTGAATGTCTCCTGCAACTGCATCTCTTCCCATATTTGCATCATGAGTAAAAGGCAGAGTTGAATGCCCTGTGGTTTCTGGATAATATGCCATTATACTCTCAGGATCAAAGTGGACAAAATGGTGAGAGATTCATGATTTCTTCCTTGCTAAACTAATTCCAGATGATGTTTGATGCAGATCTTTGTTTCAAAAATGCTCTTGAATCAAAAAGAGCAATGCAAAAGATAAAATCAAGGACAGATTCTGCACACACAATTAAGCTATGATTTTAATTCTCCTTTAAATACCATTTGTTTTGAACAATTTCTTCCTCTATATCTCAGTAAAGAATAATGTGTTCCTTCATATGCTTCCCAGAGCTTTGAATAGAGGAGTGAGGCCTCAAAACAGAGTCTATTGTCCAGCTGTGTTTGCTGTGAACTGTGTAAATTCTGAGGTAGGAGGTGAATTAACAGGGATAACTGATGATACCCTGCCAGGAACACCTCTGTTATTAGAACTAGATTTCTCCAGCCAGAGGCAATTTTCAGGCTTTCTGTCTCTGCTTTGCTCTCTTTCCCTCCCTCACACACACACACACTGCAGTAACCATTATATTTTCATGCACGTGCAACTGCATCCATCTTCTGCACTCTATGAGTTACCTGCATCAGTCTTCTGGAGGATTCGCTGAGGGTGGTTATAGCTGTCCTCGAAGCAAATAAATTTCATTGCCTATTGGCCACTTCCAACTCTACTGTCCTATGATTTTGTGATTCAGTGATTCATTCCTCCCATGTGAAGCATGATCATCTGAAGTGCGGATAAAATTTGCATGTGCAATGTTCCAGCTGTGTTTCCAACACATAGGTGCTATAGTGTGACCATTTTCCAGACCTCTGTTTTGCTGGTGCTGGCAATGAGGAATAGCTGTGTTGTTGAGCTTTCACTTACATAGATATATATGTTATTGGAACTGTTTCATCTGGTCAGCTCCCCAGCAGCTCCAGGAGCAACTTTCAAAGATACAGTTTGAAATGGGTGTAAGCTAGAGACTATTCCTAAAATTTTTATAAATAACAACCTAGTAAGATAAATGAAGTGAGCTCATACTTAAGATATCACTGCTGGACCATTCCTATAAATGTCGGTTTCAGAAAAGAATGGCATTGGGAAATCCTTAAGTTACCTTAAAATCAATTAAACCATATGAGCACAATTTTCCTGTTGAGTTGCGTATCACTTTGGACATAGTAATGGTATAATTGGGTGATTTTAAGTGACTGCATCGTTGTGTGCTGAGCTCTTGTTGGAAGGGCCATAGCTCATCTGGTTCAGTCCCCAGCATCACCTGCCTGGCAGTGTGGGAGATTGTACCTGTAACTCCTGCCTGCAGAATTCGTACCTGAAACCTTGGAGAGGAAGGACTGTTCATTGCCAGCATTGGTAAGCTGCAATAACCCATTTAGTAGGACTCCTACTGCCCCAAGAGCACATCATTTCAAAGCACAGTCAATGAATACTGGTTCACTGCAGAATCTGTGGGTGAAATTCATAGAAATTCACATTCATTCGAATCTCATTTGGGTTTCTCTGGCATATATATTTGAATCAGACTTTGTTTTTAGCATCAGACTACTCAATGTTGCTAAATGGTTGTGCCTTGAACCTCTTTCAAAGCTTTGCAATTCTGATTACAGCCCACTTGCAGTTTCATAAAAAATCGTCTTGTTTTTTTGTGTTGAACCTGAACAAAATGTCTTGGCAATGATCAGCACTGGGCAATGTTTTAATAATCATATGGCAAGTTAAGGCATGTGAATGCTTTTGATCTGCAATCCTGATCAGGTTTGCACAATCACTGTGGGTCATCATAACTTATTTAAAATTACTGGTGTGGCTTTTGGTGCCATCCAAGCCCAAGGGCCATAATTCTGCTGACTTGTGTGTACAGGACTGCTTTCCTGTTGCTGAGTTATACATCCCACATCTGTATTTTCTCTATTGCTCCTTGCCTGGTGTGCTTTCAGTAGCCATTGTATTCTTATTTGTAGTGCTTTTAGCTGCCTTGGACACATCATGATGCCAAAAGGCAATAAAAAACCTTAGCATTCTCTTCATGGTTTATGAAGCTTCTCTACAATCTTGTGACAGGCAGTGTTATTTAAAATGAAAATGACAACTTGTTTTGTTCTTCAAAAGAACTTTCAATGAAGTAAAATCTCTTTGGAAGTACTTCATAATATTTAACTTAAATGTAACTTCTGGCACCTCGAGCCTATTGCCCATTGCCCTGTCCTCCAGAGCAACTGTGAACCATTTTTCTCCATTTCCTGTCATGACAGCCTTTTACATTTTAGTAAATTGTTACCATATTGTCCCTTAATTTGTTTTCAAGGTATAAGAACACCTTGTTCCTTCAGCATTCTCTTCAGTGCCCTACTATCTCATTTTTCCTCACCATTGCGGCTGTTCTCCATTTGTTTTCCACAGTTCTGAAAATGCAGTATCTCAGTAAAATACAGTTTCTGATAGGTTCAAAGAAAACATTCCTTGGATTCACATGTGCAATGCCTTTTTGAATGAAATTTTCAAAAGACCTTTGTCCTTTTTTAAAAAAATGAACTTCAGTTGAGTTTACGAAGCTTCTAATACTCTGTGTAATGCTTCTATGTCCAAGCTTTCTTTTTATATATTCTGTTTTATTGCCTTTGGCCGTTTCTCATTTTAGAACTATTAGCATGTTAGGTTACAGAGTTTCCAGCATCTTTTAACTGTGCCATCTGTAGGATTTTTTTAAAAGTGTACTTTCACCTCCTACACCCTAATAATTTATAAAGGTGTTGATCAGTGGCAGCCACAGGAAAGACACCTTCAGAATTCTATTTGATGCTCTCTTATTATCATCAGTATATGAACAAGCAGGACCTGGAGCAAAATATTGCATTGTAAGTGTTTCTGCTCAGGGTTCCACCTAACAAGACATACCCTATTTCAGGAAGCTCCATTCCATTGCCCCTTTTCTATACACATGTTTTGTGCTGTCCCCACACTAGCCAGCATTTTGTGGTCACTGAGTTGCTGTCCCCCTCCCCTCCCCTCCTTTTGCAACTTTGGCCTTTTCCCAGTCTTTGCTGATATCCACCTCTTATGCCTGACTTGTACCATTTTTCTTGTGGCATGAAGAGCATGTTTGTCATTAGCTTATAGGGTAGTTACCCTCAGAGAGAACCAATGGATGCTGTTGCTTGTGTGGCATAACACAATATTATAAAGATGAGGCTACTAAAGCTAGGAGTGATGGTGTCTCTGAGAATTTGAGAATTGCTCCAGAGGAAGAGTCACTTTTAGAATCTCTCTCAAAATAGGCTTGCTTCAGAGATCCCCAGTAGTAGAAGAGGACACTAAGACTCTTCTCTCAGGGCTTTACTGCAAGAATTAGAAAAATAAAAAAAGGGTACAGAAAATGAACATTAGGAAACCTCCTGCACAAAGTTTCCTCCTTTACAAAGTTTCCTCCTAAGTCACTGAGGGAGGAAAAGCACCAGGCACTGCTGCTGCAGTATGCAGACAAGTTTCTCTTTGTCTGAGACTGTAGTATAGGACTGGAATGTAGGATAGACTAAACTGCCTTTCATATAGGAATCTTTTCATGTTTATCTGGATGCATGTTGGTTCTCTTCAAGATCTTTCAAAAGATCATGCAAAAGATAGTGGCTGAGCAGGTTGGTGTTGGTGAAAAGTTCAGGGAAGTTGAGCTTCCATATATTCCATATATTCTTTGAACATGTGTGTGCTATTCTTTTGAAAAGAAGCATCTCTCTCTGTTTGATCTATTTAACAAGATTATTGTTTGGAAAATATGAAGGAAAGTTGTGAATGAGGAGCAGGAAGGGCAGGACTTCGATGTGATATATTCCTTAGCTTATTCATGAGCTAAATGTTACTGAAATTTAAAATACGTATCCAGTATGTCCTTGTTATCTACTAAATGGATTACCCTATCAAAGAAAGAAAAAGGTTATTTGTTCTCAAATCTATGCTGGCCTTGAGTGGTCATCCTACTTTCCTCTAGGTGCTTGCAAATGGATTGTTTTGTAATTGTTCTAATAGCTTCTTGGCTGTTGAAGTCAATGTCACTGCTTTAAACAAACGGAGCAACCAACCACATTTCCCCAGGCCCTCCCCTTTTTCACTTTCAACAAAGCGCTACATGTTTACTTTTCTCCAAAGTGCTGTGGGAACTTATCTGTCCTCCATAAGTTCTCAAAGAAAATTACAAATGGTTTCCTGGTTTCTTGAAGTGCCTCTCTCAGCACTCTAGGGTACATTTCATCAGGCCCTGCCAACTTAAATGTGGAGATTTCTTTATGCTAACCAGCTTAGGGTTTCTGGTACTGACTGATTTTGTGTAATAAGTGGTTCTAAAAAGAAGAATCTAATTTACATCTTGGGTTTTGTCTTGCAGGCATTCCCGTGTATTTCAACAGGAATTTATGGTATGTAAAACCCATTATAAAGTTTCCATTCAAGCTATTTTTCTTCCTGACAAGTGCTCAACTTTGGTTTAAACCAGTCTTTTGACCCTTGCTAGAGTATGTTCTTTGAGTAGATGTTTCATGAGTTTTGCGTATCCAGTAGTATTAACAGTTTGTTCTATGGTGCCTGGTGGACTGCATTACCTAGGAGCTCACAAAGAGTTGTTCATGTCCCGCAAGCAGTTGTGCAGCTTAGTTTTATATGAATGGGGTTTCCCCCCCCCCCCAGTTTGCTTCAGCAGAACTGCCGCTCCCATGGTGTGAGCAGCACTGAAGTCAGATTACGGGGATGAGTTCTCTGTACATGAAGAGATACTGGGAGCAGTGCTGGGGCAGGAGAGCCCTGGGCTGCTAGTATGTGGTGGTGCGGATCAGAGCTCAGCGGTAGAGCACATGCTGTATCCCCAGGTAAAGCCCTTCTGTTTCAGCTTAGAAGACTCCCAGGCAGTGGGGCTTGGAAAGACCTCTGCCCGAGACCTTCGAGAGCCACAGCTGATCATAGATGCTACCAGGCTTGATAGATCAATACTCAGACTTGAAATAAGACAATACCGTGTTCTCATATTGTGATGTTAAGACCATGGCCATAGAGTCGGGTGAGCTGGCACCAATTGTTCCGTTTCCACAGCTGAGTGCTGTGTGCATTGGAAGAGTCATTAGTGACTTTAGGTCCACTGTGGCCAAGCAGCTTGTGGTGGGTGTGAATTGACAAACTATGAAGCATGTACTGAAAGTCCAGGAGTGTCTGTATCCACTGTGTACGAGCATCTGCATATGTTCAGAGAAAGCTTTGATACTGAAGTACATTTAAGTTTAAGCATTTCTTAATTAAAATGCATTACTTTTTACCATGCCATGGTTCTTTTCCTCTCTCCCCATCCCCATCCACACAACTGACATCTACAACCAGTACCCAACAATCTCATTCTTAATCTCATTCTTTATCACTGCAGATCAACCAGTGGATCAGTCGTAGGTTTTATAATGAATCACTCTATTCTCTGAATTTTAAAAATTGCATTTTTTGTCATCAACACAGGAAAAAGATAGGCTTTAATGCATGGAATTTGTTGTGAAATGAAATGCAAAGATCATTTCAGTTCATTTTTATGAGAGCCAATTTTAATAGAAAATAAAATGCAATGGGCATGAAACATCTTTTCCAGATAATAAGATAGATGTGGACTGAATTCAGAACTCCTCTTTCTTTGTAAGAATGTTTTCAGAGTGCTGTTTGGTGCTGCTGTTCTGAGATAGGCTAGGCCCAGGCACAGGGAGTGTTGTTAGGGAAGCCTTCTGAGTCTCCAGGGATCGAGCCAGAGAACTCTGTTGGTGCCTGGCAAGTCCAGGGAACAGGGACCTGTTATAGTGGAGTGGAGCCCAATTATACCCCAGCAGTCAGAAAACAGCATCATAACTAGGCAGGGGAAGTATCTGGATGTTCCTTTGGGATGGAGCCAACTAAATCTGCATGGCAATGGAACAGGTAGCAAAAACTTTCAAGCCAAGCATAGCATAGCCTGTCCCTTGTTTTTGGTCCCTATCCTTGAGGTTTTAACCTTTCCTATAGAAACCCTGGGAGGGTTTGACCCTGAAACTGCAGGTCAAAACCCTCAGGGGACTTGGCAACCCTAGGTACAGTTTAAGCAGAGTGTAGTCCAGATAATGGGTTCCATGCTTCACAATATTTCATTTTTGTATGATTTATTTCCAGCAAATCTGTCATCCTGTTTTTTCTTTGATAAAAGCAGAAACACAGCATGAGGAATTGGCATCCATCCTTGGCAGTGTACTATTTGACTTGAATTATGACAGTGGGCAGGATCTGCTGTTGTACATGCATCCTTGCATTCCGATTTATTTATTTTCCGACTATTAATTTTGTCAAACATAAGAGAACACTGAGCTTCCCCCTTGGACAAGAGTGTTTGTACTGGAATCAATAACCAGAAGACCTTGTATGAAGGGTTAGTATGAACAACTCAAAGAGTCCAGGACAGGCTTTTAGTGTAGCCATAAAAGCAGTAGCATATGTTAGGTTCAACTGCAAAAGAAACCTGCAAGGTAATGAGAGTCCTTGGCTATCAGCTACTCTGCACTCCTTACCTAGTCCTGCTCTGCACTCCTTAGCTTACCTACCTAACACACTTCTGCTGAAGCTAACTGGAATGCCTTGGCCTGCTCTTGCCCTCCCTTCTCTTTTTCCACAGGCAGGGATTCATAGCCTCTGGTAACCTCTGGCACACGCTGAAATTTAGGGTGGTATCTATAAAATCCTTAGCTTGTTAGTTGCACTTCGGCTTTTGGCTCAGAACGAGGAGTGCACAAGTACCCTAGTGCTTCAGGAGGGACATTCATCCCATTAGGAATCCCATCTTTTTGCATCTGCCCATGCAAAGGGGTGAACCCAAACAGAAACTTCCACTCCTCCCTCCCTTTCAGAAAGGTTCAGACTCCACCCTCAGGGTGGCTCCTGCTGCTTGTCAGCTAGATAGAGGGACCATTGGACGTTTCTTAAGTGGTCTGCTCACTTCACCTGTTGCCTCCCAGGGGAAAGGAAATCCTCCTCCTCCACCCGCAGCTCTGAAATGTCTCCATCCTTTTCCAAGGTGGACTGTAGCCTTGAAAGTGTGGAGTCCACTGCCCAGCTCTGCTCTGCATCCTCCTCCTCAGATCTGGACAAATCTGGCAGGGCTGACTGTAATGTGTGAGAGCTGGCCCCCTGTCTGCACCTCTTTATATATACCCCACCCACTTACATGAATATCCTTTTCTGTTGCTTGGGTTGGTAGTGAGACCATTGTGGGCCCTGTCTGAAAAACAAACTTTTTGCCTCCCTATGCTTCTACGTGCAAATGGTTTCAACAGAATACAGGCGATTTTCTTACAGTCTTGAAACAAGGGCTGGGCTGGTTCATTCTGAAATCTGGCCCTCCAGTATCTGTGGACTTACTCTCATGCTCAACTCAGTCTTGCGAAGCGAGCTGAGAAGAAGTCCACAAATGCTCACGGATCCTCAGTTGCACCGTTGGCAACCTTCCCCATCAGGTGCAGCTGCCCAGAGGGTGGCTGCAGGATGAAGAAGAGGGGTGCCGTGAGTGAGTGGGCATGCCAGGCACCATTCCCAGCAGCAACCCTTCCTGCCCTCCTGGAGCTGCAGAGGGGCATTGCTTGCGGAGCATGTGGGCTGTGGGGCTTGATTGCTGGCAAGCACCTCATTTATTTATTTATTTATTAAAACATTTTTATGCCGCCCCATTCGCCGAAGCCTCGGGGCGGCTTACAACAAGAGCATGGACAGCAAGAGCACTCAGGGCTGCTGCCATGTGGACTGGAGTCCAGGGATCCAGTCTCAGGGCATCCAGCAGATTCCTCATACATCCCTACTTGAAGCATTGTTTTCCCCAGTTGCACAGGCTGTAGAGACATTCCAGTGGAGGGAAAATATTTATTTATCTGAAATATTTTTTGTTTTGCTTCTCAGCCATAAAGGCTACCAATCCATCTTATATTTAGTGTGCCGTTCTATGCATCTTTACCCAGTAAAAGTCCTCTAACTCATAGCATGCCTGCAATGCATAGTATGGCTGGCTGGGGCCTGGTGGCAGCTGTTGGCTTTTTTCTGTCTAACTGTGCATAGGATTGCACCTTTAATTAGCAAAGCAAGGTAGTATTAGGATATGTTCATCATTTTATGTATAGGTACTCAACCTGAGAGTTAGAAATCTTTACTTTTAATATCAGTTGAGTCAATTTAAAGACAATGTTTGCTATCCCCAAACACATGGGAGCTGCAGCTTTGAGGACAGAGGCAGGCTTGGACTTTGTAGAAGGCAGACCTGATTATTGGGTTTTTTGTAATTCCCTGTTCTCCCTGTTGCTTCATTCAAATCCATAACCAAACATATGCATGGCACTATGCGATAATAATATATGAACTTTATATTTTTCTCCACTGCTGCTGCTTTCACACGACCTGCCCCTGATGGGTTTTTTATTATTTAATGTATTTCTGGCAGAAATTATGTACTTCAGGTAGAGGAAGGCATTCACTTTTGCATGTATCAATGCAATGCCTTCACCTCTCTTGAATGGGGGATTTAGTAGAACACCTTATTCCAATAAATCATGTACTGGTTGTGTAAAAGAAAGTGAGGCAGTAAGCTTTGTTTTTATTTTCCATATTTTTTTTGCTGAGATCTCTTTAATGAGTCAATTAATTGACTGATCATTTTGTTTCCTGGAAGACCATCTGAATAGTATGACCTTCTTTTTGATACCAAAATCTGTTCCAAAAAATATAGCTGGATCTTTGTTGAGACCTATTCTGATATCAGCTAAATGGAAGCCGGTTTCTTTGGTAAAAGAGATATCTGCTCTCTGCTTTCAGATTTTGCTACTGTAAGTTCATAGATGTATGCAATGTGTGTGCCTATATGTTAATTGATACATATTGTGAGGTCTCGATGCATCCTGTTTTAGTTTTCATAGCAGTTTAGAATACTTCTTTCCCCCATGGAAGGGCAGAAAATGGGAGCAATAACAACTTGCAAAATGTTTGGCTGAAAGGGAACCTGCATTTTTAACATAACGATATTAGATGGAGAAGAAGTCTGACTCTCTGACAAAGCTTGCACCCAAAACTCCTCCTTCAGGTTCTTTGAATACTTGATGTTCCCAATTAAACTTGCAGCTCCTAAAAGACCAGAGGCAGCTAGCCAGCAAGGCACCATGCCAAGCCTCAATAAAAAGATGCTTTCATGTGTCTACATTTAAAGAGCCCCCCCCAATAGAATTATACTCATAACATTTTAAAAGCATGAAATAAAGAATGATATGGAGTTTTGTACATCAGTGTAAATCAATAGAAACCCTCTTGGAAAACTCTTACAAGACAACTGAGTGCCAGCCTGTAGATGCAGAATGCAAATTGTATTAGGCTTCCCTGGTGATCTGTGGAA